ACTAGAATGACTATTATTGGGCACCTGCCTCAGGTCCAGGCATAGCAAGCCTTCAGCAGTCAGCACGCACAGCCTCTTTCCCCGGATGCCCTTGGATTTCCTGACGCTGCAAACCCCTAGGAATGCGGGCCCAGCTGGCTTGTGTCCGTCCTGTACCTTCCCCAGTGGAGCCACCCTCCCTCTGCCACACCACCCTGGAGGACAGGGCTGCTGGCTACTTGGAGGTCAGGAAATGGGGGGCCTTGACAGAAAGATGGAAGTTTGCAGAGACCCTCTCACCCCCAAAATGTACTATATCTAGTTGAGGAAAGAGAGTAGCCAGGTGATGGCCAAATAGATCAGTAAATGGAGGATCAGACTGCCAGCCAGTCTTCTGCCCCGTGCGGGGAGCAGTCACCAGGACATGGCCCTGTGGCTGGAAACCCCGCACAGAAGGCTTCACAGGGTGCCACCTCTGTACCTCCAGGTGGCAGAGCTGGGGTTCAGAGGAATTCTGCCACTTAGAACATGAACTTGAGGGCTTGGCCACGTGCAGCCCTCGCTGGGGGCCAGGTGCTGAGCCAAGGGTCTCATAGCATCAGCTCACTGGCCCTCCTTCTACACCCCTCTCCAGGGTCCAGCATGGAAACAAATATAGCTATCCACTCCTCCTGCTGCCAGGAAAAGTAGGTCCCAGCTCCGTATCCCAACAGCTAGGATGAGGCTACTCATAAAAATAAGAGTCTCTCCTGCAAGGTCTGGACTTGGGGGTGGCCGGAGCCCCCCTTGCCCCACCTCCAGGGCTGCAAGCTGAGCTAGGTTGTTGGTGCTCACGGGGCCCTTCTAAAGCTAGGACTGGTCAGGAAGTGGCGTGGGAGGACCCCAGTGCTGCGGTGAACTGATGACATCGGTGCCTTTAGGGGAAGCAGAGTTCTGCCCTATCCCACATCCCCCCAGTAAGGTCCTGTTACAGTAGCAGTAAATGCCGTCAGTGAAAACAGCGTATGCGTCAGTTATGGTTCAGTTATGAAACACAGCATCCACTCGAGCTAGTTTAAGAAGAAAGGCATTTTCTTCCAGGGTACCAAACAGCTTATAGAGTCACTGGGGAGGCTGACGAAACAGCCTAAGTTGGGGTTTCCGGAATGATCCCAAAACCATACTGCAGAACCAGGTCACTAGGGGAATCTGCACTGGCTGTCAGCTCTGGATGTGACAGTATTGCCACCTCCATGGTCAGGAAGCTGCCACTGCTGCTGGATCCAGACCCATGCTGCCCTACTGTGGTCTACACCCGCAAAATGGAAACTGGGACTCTAGGGCTCCTGTGGCGACTCTTCTTGGTAGCAGAAACAACAGAAGCCCAGCCTCTGCTTCAGCTCTGCTTTCTGACACGAGCGCATGGGATAGGAAGAACTGGAATCGTATTTGGAATCCTAGCTGCAAAGGAGTCGGGGAGTACAGCAAGGCATCCCAGAAGGGGGTTGGATATCCAAGCCATAGTGTATAGTGAAGCTGAATCACTGGGGTTTAGGGAAGATGATCCTACAGAAGTGGCATTGCAGCCTAGGCAAGGAGGATCTGATTCTCATAAAAATCACCTGGGCAAGATCACGGTGCAGAGAGCAGGGCGCCCCCCTCAGACACTGGCTCAGTGGGACTGAAGCGGAATTTGTTTGCTGCTGTCTCCCTGTTGTCCTCTTGATAAAATTCTTCAGTGTCCTTTAGGTACATCGTGTTCTCTGTTTGATCTTTGAGATAAACCTCTGAAGCAGCCCATCAGGTATTCTTACCTTGTGCAGAGAAGAGGAAGGTGAGGCTCAGCTCAGGGAGGTTAAGCCACTTTTTGCAAGTTAGGCCTGACTCGCTGGAGATGGAACTGCCAACCACTGTCCCCAACCCTTTCCACCTGCCAGCCTCTTGGAGCTACTCCCTGCTGCTACTAACTCGTGCTCTTTCAGTCTGATTAAGAGCAGGAAAGCAGTGTGCCCTACCTCAGTGGGGGCAAGCCCCTTCACCTCTCTGACCCTCTGTTTCCTCCTCTGTACGGTGAGGTGGCTGGAAGGCACTCTTCTGACAGTGGGAGCCTTCTTTCAAGAGAAGCGTTGCGTGTATCTACATCTAAGACAGAAACCAGCAGGGCCGCTGTGGTTGCCACAGGGAGGGATCCAGACACCTCCCGCACAACCCCACCTCCTCCAGCCCCTGGAATATCCTTGCTGGGGGCTCACCCAGCTTTGGCCCCCAGCAAAAGCTGGCAACTCTTCGCTTGAACCTGCTCACATCATTGCAAGCCTAGTGACGGCCGTCTGCAGAGGAAGAGCAGAAGGGGCTCTCTCTGGGAGGTCAGGATGTGGGGAGGGGTGGGAGAAAGGGGGAGGGGGTACTGGTTATTTAGGAGACAGAAAACTTGGCTGATTGGCTGATGGGCCCAGCTTGAGGTAAGTGTGTTCGATGGGGTACCCCGTTCTGCTGCCTGTTTCCTAAATGAAAACTCTTACATCCTGTTCAGCCCAGAGGAGACGTTTGTTTGAGATGACAGGCGCGTCTTGGAGGGCTGCCACAGGGAAGGCGTCCACTCTCCTGGACCTTGGTAGTAAGTGGCTTCCATAAAATGTGTGCACCCCGCTCCCATTGCCCAGCAGAGCAGCACCGCCCATGCGTGTGTGCGAGCACGTGTCCACGTGTGCTCCACGGCTGGTTGCTACTTCCCGGCTCTTCACCGGCACGTTGCCGGGACACATGGCAGCTACCAGATGGGTGTGTCCTGGGTCAGCTGAGGGACAGCCTTCCTGATTGGGCTGGAAAGACCACAGCTCCGAGGCGGAAGTCATGGCATTGCACCCACCAAGTCCACCTCCACCCAGAAGGGGAAAAGCTCTGAACAAGCTTGGTGGAATCGTGTGCGTTAATAGGACTGTGGTTTGCCTTTCTTGGCCAGAGAAGCAAAGAAGGTGCCACCGAGATCCGTGTGAATTTGGACGTGCAGGCTCTTTGCCTGCTCTTGGTTATAAAAGTGACACCAGAGACATTCCACGTGCCTGTTCTGAAGCCATGTCCAAGCAAACGTCTTCTGAATGGGGGTGTTCACAGAAAGCCACTAACTTCTGTTAGAGCTGCTAAGGAGACCTTGGACGTGTGTTCTGGAAAAGGCCAGGCACTCGCCCGAGAAGAGGCTGGCAGTAGCTGTCCACGGGAACCGGCCTTCTCATCACAGTGTGTGGTTTCTTCTTTCTCTGGCTTTGCCTGACAAAGGTTACTGCCCGTAACCAGCCAGGAGAGGCATCCCACGTTGTTGCAGCCCTTGGAAAGTATGTTCCTGAGGAGGTGGGGTAAGATTACTCTGGTGACATCCAGCCAGAGTGAGTTGTGTTTTTTTTTTTTTGTAATTTGGAGTATAGTTGATTTACAACGTTGTATTAGTGTCAGGTGTACAGCAAAGAGAATCAGTTATGTATATACATATATCCACTCTTTTTTTTATTTTCCCATATAGGCCATTACAGAGTATTGAGTAGAGTTCCCTGTGCTGTACAGCAGGTCTATTTTATATATATAGTAGTGTGTATATGTCAATCCCAGTCTCCCAATTTATCCCTCCCCACCAGACTGAGTTTAATTCAGAGTTAATAGTGTAAGGCACAGAGAAGCAAGGGAGATCAGGGTATGCAGACAGAGCTCGAAGGAGCCGGTCTTTCAGGATGGATGGAATTGGGAAGAGCAAGGGGAGGAGGAGGAACTCAGGGTTCATGGGACTGTTGATAATAGCCAACATTATATACCTACAATGGAATATTATCCAGCCTTAGAAAGGGAGGGAATTCTAAAACGTGCTACAACATGGATAAACCTTGAGGACATTATGCGCAGTGAAAGAAGCCAGACACAGAAGGACAAATACTGTGTGATTCCACTTCTATGAGGAGTAGTCAAATTCAGAGAGACAGAAAGTAGAATGGTGGTTTCCAGGAGGAGCTGGGGGGAGAGAATGGGGAGTTAGCGTTTAATCGGGACAGAGTTTCAGATTTGCAAGATGACAACAGTTCTAGAGGTGGATGGTGGTAATGGTTGTATGATATGGTGAATGTACTTAATGCCACTGAACTGCACACTTAAAAACAGTAAAAATGGACTTCCCTGGTGGCGCAGTGGTTAAGAATCTGCCTGCCAAAGCAGGGGACACGGGGTAGAGCCCTGGTCCAGGAAGATCCCACATGCCGCGGAGCAACTAAGCCCGTGCGCCACAACTCCTGAGCCTGTGCTCTAGAGCCCGCGAGCCACGACTGCTGAAGCCCACACGCCTACAGCCTGCGCTCTGCAACAAGAGAAGCCAGCGATGAGAAGCCCACGCAACGCAACGAAGAGTAGTCCCGGTTCGCCACAACTAGAGAAAGCCTGCATGCAGCAACAAAGACCCAACACAGCCAAAAATAAATTAATTAATTAATTATTTTTTTAAAAAGGTAAAAATGGTCAATTTTATGTCATGGGTATTTTCCCACAATTAAAAAAATAAAAAACCAGTAGCCAACATTTATTGAGCACTTGCTGTATACCAAGCACCGCACAGAGCACTTGTGACGTAGTTCTCCAAATAGCCGTATGAGGTAGGCGCCGTTGCTGTTTGCATTTTACAGATGTGGAATCTGAAGTTTGGGGTCATTAAATAAATACACCTCTCACAGCCAGATGACTTATGATGGTCGTGAGGATTATACCCAGATCTGTGAGGGTCCAGATATCACACCCTGTGAACAACAGGCTGAAACACGGGCACCAAGAGGCACAGACTCCTGACGATTTCTAAGTGTTGCCCTGCTGATGGACGGGGTTTGGCTTCCATCCACCTGCAGAGGCCCTGCCTGTCAGGCTCCTGCCTCCAGCAGAGCCCTTGAGGTGGCCCTCATCTGAGTTCCCTGTTGCTGGTGGTGCAGGGTGTTAGAAGTTGGCTCTAACTTGCACATGATCATACCCATGACCAGCATTTTAAGGAGTGAGCCGTGTCGCCCCATCTGTTTCAGACCACGGTGATCGACTACGTGAAGCCCTCGGATCTCAAGAAGGACATGAATGAGACCTTCAAGGAGAAGTTTCCTCACATTAAGTTAACACTCAGCAAAATAAGGAGGTACGTGGGGATGAACGCCCACCTGAACTTTCCCCCAGGCCCCTCTCCCAGCACGCACTGAGCTCGTGCTTTGTACGGTGGGTCTTCTGTTGTTCTGGGGAAGTGAAACATGGTCACATTCAGCTAAAAGAGGCTCGTCCGGTGCTTGCTGACCCGTGCCTAGATGTGAGTGAGTCAAGGCAGGCAGGACAGAGACGGAGCCCTTGACACAAGCTGACAAGGATCTGGAGTGCGGTTCCTTATGAAAGAATCATTTCATACTATCTGTGGCTTACGGTTCCGTAAGATTTATGTTATGGAAAACTGAGAATAGGAAACATTCAGTTCCCTGTGTTCTCAAATACAGGCAAAACAGAACAGAATTGGTAGCAGAGGGTTTGAGATAACTCTTTACCCACACCCGTCTGCCCCGAGGTGACAGCCAAGCCCTCCATGTAAGCAGTCAGCAAAACGGCCAAAGCAAACTCAGGCCCAAATTTCCCCTGCAGCTAATTGGGTCGACCTTGCGGTGACCCACATCTTCCGGCCCAGTAATCGAGAGGACTGGCCCTGCTGGGCTGGAGAGAAGCTGACTTGTGTTGTGTCTGTGTGCCAGGACAGCAAGATTTCAGGGCGCGCGTGTGTGTGTGTGTGTGTGTGTGTGTGTGTGTAGTAATGGAGGCTAGGCTATACACATAGTGTTGGAACACGTGCCAGCATTCATACATTTATGTATGAATGTAATTCATACATAAATGTAATTTAGGATTATGCCCAATCCTGATTTGATTCTCGCACGTTCCTAGCCAAAGAGGTGAGAAAAATTAAGTATTCATATTTTGTCTGTTGGTTGGGCAGCTTTCCTAAGTAGGCTGGTTGCTGCACTCTTAGTCTAACGCCTCTTCGGCCATAGTTAGTGGCCATAAGCGATCTTCGGCAGAGCTGATGCCAAGCACCTAATTTATCTGAGTAACTGTCTCTCTGGAATGACCTTAGTTTCCCTCTGTCACTGTGGGCGGCTCTACTCCTAGCTTCCGGACCCTCAGCTATCCACTTGGGCTCAACGTGGTCCCATCTGGACGTGGTCTGTGCAGCTTGACCAACAGAGAAGGGTTCGAAGTCCCAGCGACTTAAGTCTGTTGGCCACATATGACGTAACTTTCTCACTCATAGGGATTTAATCCCATTCCACGTCGCCCTTCTGGAAATGAAAGAGAAAATGCTTTCAAGACAGGGTAGTCTTTTTCTTTGGGGTCACCCGAAACTCCAAGTTCTGATAAGACTCTTCTCTCCCTCCCGTCTTTTTCTAGCCTGAAGCGAGAGATGCGGAAGCTTGCCCAGGAGGACTGTGGCCTTGAGGAGCCCACGGTGGCCATGGCATTTGTCTACTTTGAGAAGCTCGCCCTCAAGGGAAAGCTAAACAAACACAACCGGAAGCTTTGTGCCGGGGCGTGCGTGCTCTTAGCAGCCAAAATTGGAAGCGACCTCAAAAAACATGAAGTCAAGCATTTAATTGACGTAAGTGGGCTGAATTCTGATTGGCTGGTTTGGGGGGGGCGGGGCACGCACTCCAGGCCAGCGTTGGTCTCAGCAGAGCCTGGTTGGTGACCCAGCCCGGGAGACTTCTGAGCCTTAGTACCAGCTAAGGGACCAGGGCAATGAGGTTGGCCCTTCTACAGCAGATGTCAGACCCCACATCTCGGGCTGTCTTAGAACAGAGGGATAGGCCACTTTGATGAGACTGAAGATCCCCAGTATTGGGTCTGGCCATAAAATACACTTTCAGGCCCCATGAGGATGAGCTTATTCTCCAAGCCACAGAAGCCACTGTAATAGCCAGGGGTCTTGCGGGTGGTGTGACCTGCAGAACATCCATCAGACACACCTTGGCTTCCTGTGGCCTCGGCTGCTTACTTTTTTGGGGAAGGGCGTGGGCTTGACTGAGTGGTATCTCCTTCCTTTTAAAATAGAGCCCCTTAGGGTTCCCTGGTTGTCCAGTGGTTAAGACTCTATGCTCCCAATGCAGGGGCCCCAAGTTCAATCCCTGGTCAGGGAACCAGATCACACATGCCGCAACTAAAGACCCAGTGTAGCCAAATAAATAAATAAATAAATAATTTTTAAAAATAAAAATTAAAGTAGAGCCCCTTTAAAGCAAGGAAACACTGATCTTCTTGGACAGATACAAGAATGCCTGTTTTTAAAATTCAGTGTATTCTGGGAATTCCCTGGCAGCCCAGTGGTTAGGACTCCGCGCTTTCACTGCCAAGGGCCTGGGCTCAATCCGTGGTCGGGGAACTAAGATCCCACAAGTTGCGTGGCGCAGACAAAAAAAAAAATCAGTGTATTCATAGAAAATTTGAGATACAATAAAGCCAACAGATCAGGAGATTCATCAGAATTTCCTACCTTTTTAAGGCTGAATAATGTTCCACTGCATGTATACACCACATTTTGTTTATCCATTCATCCATCCATGGAAGAAATGGTACAGAATCATCTAATTTGTGTAATAAACACTTTTAGGACCATGGTTTGGATACCAAATCTGAGCTGAGAATCAATAGGTTTACGTAGATAATAGCTGAACTAATGAATCTTTACAAGTGTGCTGTTACACACATTTCATAGTTGAGAAATATATCATCCAGCAGTGCTGATGGTACCAATGCAGAATATAAGGGTAACATCTGACAGGCCATTTGCAGTAGCGATTAACTGAACGCAAGATCCCGACCCAGTTATAATCTGAAAGTAGTCGCCGACTACTCTGGTGTTGAGATTTTTTTTTTTTTTAATTAAGCCAAAAGCTAAGTTTAAGCCAAAGCAGAATGTACTTTAGCAAAAATGAGGCCTTCCCTACCCACCCTCACCCTGATTGTTCTCCATTCCTACTCCGGCAGCAGCTGGACCAAGAGGCAGTGCAGGAGGGGAGCCCCTGGGCGTGGGCTCAGCCCAGTCAGATCCACACAAGCCATGTAATGCTCTGAAAGTGAGGCAGCCTCGCCAGCACTTGGTCCTCGAGCATAAAATGCAAGGACCAAACTACACATTACCAGCTCCCCCAATCCTAAACCTCCCACGTGGATATTGTTGTTATAGATGATTTGCTATGGTTTTAGTCTTACCTCTAAGCTTGAATAACCTAGTTGTAACAGGTACAGTTTGGGTCTCAGCTGAGTCTGAATCTCAGCATTTCAGTTTGCTGCCCTTAACCTCTTGACCCCGTTTACCCATCCGTAAAATGGAGATAAATGTAACACTGATCGTGTAAGATTATCAAGAGATGTAATGAAGTCACGGGTTGTATCTCAGGCTCCCGGCAGACTGTGGGTCCTCAGGGAGGTAGGAGTCCTTTTCCATCAGGACTGAGAGCAGGAAACACAGCTGATGCCTCCGTTTCTTCCTCCACAGTCTTGCCCATAACGGGTTTCTCTGTAAACACTCTCTGGCTGATGGATACAGAGGTTACACGTGGAGAAAACCTAGGATTTTTATTTCAAAGCTAAAAGGCTTTTGGTTTCCTTTATTTCTGTTGCAGAAGCTGGAGGAGAAGTTCCGGCTGAATAGACGAGAACTGATTGCCTTTGAGTTCCCGGTGTTGGTGGCCTTGGAATTTGCCCTTCATCTGCCGGAGCACGAAGTCATGCCCCACTACAGACGCCTGGTCCAGAGCTCCTAGCACAGGCCTCCTAGGAGGGCCGGGACCACTTCCCCTGAGCTCACTGGGGCAGCGCGTACTACTGGAAATGCAAAAATAGAACTCAACACAGCAAACTTTTCTCCACTCGACATGTTTTTGTGTAGAAGCAGTACCAGAAACTTTTCAGGGAGTCTTCCATCTGGCCAGCTGAGATGGGCTGTGAACCGTTTACTGCTCAGCCAGGAAGGGGAGACCCGAGAAGAAGATGGCTCTCCCAGCTCTCCACTCACCAGATTTCCTAGCTGGCCTCACCCAGACTTCCTCGCGACCACACGCAGACCTGGCAGGCGTGGTCCAGGGCCTTCTCTCCAGCCCTGTTCCAACTCGGAGTGCAAAGTTCTAGAGCAGATTGGGGAAGAGAATTTGCAGAAGTTGGGAGAAAGCTTCTAAAAGATACCCTCAGTGTGTCAAAAGAGCGTGCCAACCTATTTTTGTATCCGCTGTTGGAAGTGCACTTTCCTCTGGAGCGTGTGGCTGAGTGTGAGAGTGTGTTTGAGAGATGTCACATCAGGCCTCCACCCGCAAAGCCAGCCCCACCCTCTGCAGAACAGACCTCAGCCTGGGGTCAGGAGCCAGGCTGACCCTCGGCAATTATTTCTACATAATCTCTGGATAACAGTCACTCTGTCCGTACCAGGTGGACATCTTCTGCCCTTAGAAAATGACATTGTTTCTGTTACTGCTCCTACCACCAATGGGACAAAGAAGACAAGCTCTCACTCGGATGGGCTGCGTGGAAAGGTGTGGCATGTGATGTTCTATACCGTTCCGCCATCACGTCCTGCGTGTACACGAACCTGCACACTTTCCCCACTGTGGAGATGGTGGGGTTGGGATCCGTGGTGTGTATTCTTGTGCTCTATGTTAGAGTGCATCACAGGCACATTTATTGTGCTACCTGTCTATCTACCTATCTATATAAAGTGTTTTATAAAATCCACATTAGGGGTAAGACGCATGATTGGTGTTTTGAGGCTTTTGACAGTTGGGACAAACTGCATCGAGCTGAGGCTGAGTCAATCGAAGAGGCAACAGCTCTTAGCATCACCATGTCCCCAGGGCTGTTAGTGCAGAGTTTTCGTTGCTACTTGTACCGATTCACTGGGACAACCTGTATGGAGGCACCTCATCACTCTGTTCCCTCGTAGCTGCAGGAGAGAGGTGCCCACTGTGGTTCACCGGACGGAAGGAAGCCTGTGGCCCTGTAAAGAGAGAATTAAAATATTTTATTGTTTCTATACCCACGTATGTGTACGTGTAGACGTGTGAAGTCTCACCAGTCACCCTCGCCCTGCATTATAGTTCATCTGCCACCATCCCCGCCTCGATCTCACACACAGATTCGGAGCTTTGCAATCACCCCAGAGAAGGGGCGACGGGGTACCGGGCTTCAGTCAGCAGAGCTTGAAAGAATCTGACAGTCACAGGTTGGAGGAATTCAAGGAGTGGCCAGGGGGAGAGCAAACAGGACCCAGAGGAACAGAGTTTAGTCATAAATATTTTGCTAACAAATCTCCTTAGCTGGATTCAGTTGTGAGATGATTTTGTTGAGGGGTATGATGAACGCGATCTCTTGGGCTTGATAGATTAATTACTATTTCTGGGACACCTACTGTTTATGAGGCAAATTGGGAAAGAAACAGGAAGTGTTCAGAATGTCTCCATCACCTGAATATAACCCGCCCTTGACCTTCCTCTGCTGGTGTCTGTCACCTGCTTCTCCCTGATGAGCCCCCTGGTTCCCAGCCCACTCAGCTCCCCGGTGAGGGCCTGGTGGGTGGAAAGCCTCTCAGAGATGCGAGGCCACTGGCATCTAGAAATTGTAGCTCCCCGCCACCCATCTGCCTTGAGTCTCCCGCCAAGCTCAGGGGATATCCAATAGGTGACAGGGGCCACCGGCCCAGATGTGCGGAGGGCAATACCCTGCGTCCTGCCTGTGTCTTAAAAACAGGCTCAGGTTCTTGGGTTTGGGGCAGTTTGGTTTGGGGCATTTATGAGGTGGACTTAAGAAGTTGTGGGTCCATTTTGTTAAGACAATTTAAACATCTATTTTGACCTGTGGGTTTGTTACGTGGGGAGTTTATGGGTTTTAATTCAGTTGGGAAGGAGGCTGAGAATGAAAGATTTTGTCCAGAGCTCTCCTTTTCCTTGTCCATCACACGAGCTTTCTGAAGGAAAAGGGGAATGAGGCGGAGGCCAGGGCACCAAGGTCACTGCCGGCGCCTCCTGGGACGTGGTGACTGCCAGTCACTTCCCAGCCTCGGGCTTTGGCAAGGAGTCGTGGAGGCAGCCTGTGCCTGTGAGGAGAGAAGGCGGCCGCTCAGCAGACTCTTCTAGAAGACCCCGAGGCTCTGCCCTTCCACCGTCCACCACAGCGGCAGGTTTGGACCCCTTGCAAGCCCTGCTCCCTCTTGGGCTGCCTGAAGCCTCTGCAGTTCTCAAGGCCAAAGGTCTGGGGAAGCCCACGCTCCTCGGGATGGCAGGAGCCACCCCACCTGACTTGGTTTCCCCAGACTGGCCTGGTGGACCGGGGGTGTCTCTCCTCTGGTGCCCTGACTGTGAGGTCAGGTTAGAGATGGAAAGCAAGGAGCAGCCGGCCTGGTGGCAGCTGCCCTGTCCCCAAGCAGTGGGCCCGCTGTGCGCCCTGCCCGGGCAGGATCAGTCCCCATCCCCCAAAGGCCTGGAGGCCTCAGGCCAGTGACAGTAGAGGTCACTCCTCTCCCTTCTTTCCCCCCAATCAAACCTGCATTAAAGCAGGACATCCACACCAAAGGCAAAGCTGTTTGTTTTCCTTGGTTTTTTTCTCCTGACCCAAACTTCCTCTATTCTTTTGGTGGCCCACCCAGCACACCCATTCTGGGCCTCCCCGTACTCCGCACAAACCACTGCGTACCACGGGCCCCTCCGTTCCCGCAGCAGCACATAGGTCTGTTTATCGCCCTACCGCTGAACTCTTTCTTAGACGTTTCCGGTTCAGTGCAGAACGGCCGGCCTTCTTGCCTCCGTTGCAATCTGCCTGTGCAGAGGAGGGGTAGGCTGAAACAAAGCAATGTGAGCCAGGTAGTTTTGTTACCTGTTAATTGTTTTCTCTATGTGGGGCGGAGCGTCCCGGGGCTTCCCTGCCCCAGGGACAGCCTGAGTTCATCTCCTAGGAGCTGTCGGGAGCGTTTGGTTAAGGACATTGCTGGCCAGGTCCCAGCAGGGCCAGGTAGAGTGTTGAGGACCGGACGAGGGAGGAAACATCAAGGCTATATATTTGGAGTCACATATTGTCAGCACCAACTTGAAAGCGTCTGCCAGGAGTGCAAGTGCAAGGCAGAACAAGGCAAAAATCTATAAAAGAAGAAAATAATAATTCAAGGGCATGGTCCTCTCACTGTCAAGGCAGGGAGTGCTCGCTCTGACAGCCCCCATTGCACAAAGGGCCATGCAGACTTCTAAAGAGATATTCCAGAAAGTCTTTGAACACTGAGCTAGCTGAACCCTGAAGACACACCTGGCAAGGATGGCACTTACCCGTGTACCATCTCCCACTACCATCTTGCTACTCAAAGGGTGGTCTGAGGGCCAGCAGAGTTGGCATCCCCTGGGGCCTTGTTACAACTGCAGAATCTACATCTCAACAAGATTCTGTGGACATTTGTATGCATTAAAATCTGAGAGGTATTATTCCTCCATATACGCATAGGAAATAAATTTTCTGTCTGAAAAAAGATACTACTTATGTATAAAGTTGTCTAAAACAGAGGAACTGTAGATTTTTTTTTAATCTAGTGGGAAGAGTGGCATTGTTTTACTTTTTTTACAAATCCGGCTACTCTTCATTGCGGTGCACGGGCTTCTCACTGCGGCGGCTTCTCTTGTTGCGGCGCAAGGGCCCTAGGCATGCGGGCTTCAGTAGTCGTGGCTCGCAGGCTCAGTAGTTGTGGCGCACGGGCTTAGCTGCTCTGTGGCATGTGGGATCTTCCCGGAGCAGAGCTCGAACCTGTGTCCCCTGCATTGGCAGGCGGATTCTTAACCACTGTGACACCAGGGAAGTCCTGTAGATGGTTTTTAATACCAAAAGGAACAGTGCCAGTCTCTTACTGAAAGGTAGTTTTGACAGTTGTTTTACCTAACTGCCTCATCTAACATTTTTGTGGATGCACATGGCCAGAAAGATTTAAATTGGATAAAGCTACAGTTAACCGATAGTAGGTCCCAAGCGCAGAGCTGGCTTATAGGGATCGCTTCATCCAGTGTTGACTAAGGTCACTGCCTGGATGAGGCCTGTATCTCAGCTTCTCGGGTCCATGCCCAGGTGGAGAGTTGCGATAGTGGAGGGTCAGAGCCATAGTGGGTGCTGGAGCATGAGCCCCCTCTACCAGAGCTGGGGAGCTGTACAGTCATGACCTTGGGACATCATGATGAACAGATCCCCAGTTTGATTCCAGATTGACCTTCATTGAGGTCCATGTAGCATTTTATAAAATGTGTCTTACCCTGTGTTCTGTGGGGGACGGCAAGGACTCCATGGGTCTGCCCCTGAGATGCTTCAAGAGGTTGGAGAGAGACCACTGGAAGTGGAAGGCACCCTCTCCAGGTGCCGTGATACTGTTCTCCAGAAGGAGCCCCAACAGTGGGGATGTTCCAGGGGCAGGACAGACTCCCCGGATGGACCTGGAATGGATGAGCCCAAGGCAACAGGGTTGGAAATCGCCACTCAGGAATCAGCCTGGCACACAGGTGACAAGGTGGGCAAATTAGAGCAATTGTTTGGTCCAGTGAGTGAAGATCAAGAAGACAGGATGAAATCAAGGAGACTCCTTACTGGGGCACCTGGAGAGATTGGTGAGAAGCCAGAGACAGAGATAATCCCTTGGACACAATGTTTGACAAGGGCCCTTAATCACCAAGCAGATAGCACCTGCCAGCCCTGTGCTTGGCCCTTAAAGCCCATGTTCTTATTTTACCCTTAACAAACAAACTGTAAAATTAGGTATCATGCTCCCATTTCAGAGATGACGGAACTGAGGCTCTGAAAGGTGACTTTACTTGCCCCAGCCATGAAGTGGCAAAGGTGGGGGATTTCATATCCAGGTCTATCTGATCCCCAAGCCCAACCAGCTGTGTTGCCTCGAGCTCGGGTCAAAACAGAGAAGCTAAGAAAGTGGAGAGGCCAGAGCCAGGCTGATGTCAGATGTCGCTCTGGACCTGCTGTGCTCATGGCCTCTCCGATGAGGTGGGGCCTTCTCTCCACCCCACCCAGTAGCCACCAGCCCTTCCATGCAGCGGGGAGAAGGGATCCAGAGCTGTAAAGTCCAGACCTCCATCCTCTCAGGTATGAGCAGCCTTCATAGCTGATGTGGGACACCGTCCTGGGCCCTGGTAGAATGTGGGCTTTGGGGAAAGTGTGCTTCTGCAACAGGTGAGCTAAGAGGCTTTCCGAAGTAAGCAGGAGATCCCAGTGAGGGTAACATGGCCAGGGTGGGAGTCCACCAGCGTTCGACCTATCGGTTTCTCATCGCGCACGTATGGCTTTTCCACGGTGTGTCCCAATGAACACAAATTCTCTTTGCCCCTCTGCTCTGCGTGTTCCTTAGCTGCTGTTCCTCCTGTCTGTGTGTGGCTAGGAAACGCACATTTGTTTTGCTCTAAAGCTAAGCCAAGGATACCTCGGGCAGGCCATCCACTGGCAGGGAAACTCACATCACACAAGTGAAGCCAAAGAATGGCTTAGGGATTGTGAGCTCTTTGAGACTATTCGAGCTTCAGCCCCCAGTCATCACATGCAGGACTCAGGCACTTGTCAGAGGCGCAGAGAGGCACTTTCATGGTCATTGGCTGCTACTCTAGACCACAGGGTTCAGAAGGGCAGGAACGGTATCCATCGCCGTATCCCTCAGCGCCCAGCACAGTGCCTGGCACATGGAATTTACCAAATATTGGTTGGGTTGAATAAACCATCACAAAACAATCACCACACTGGGCGGGTAGTTCTCTGCAGCTCTCAATTCTCTCCTCGGGTCCCACTCAGGTTCCACCCTGCAGACCACACCACCCAGGTCCCCTTGCCCTCCGGCTGCCGAAGAGGTTCTGACAAGGAGAGACACTGAGGGAGAGTGACAGCAGGAGGAAAACCAGGTCCAGGGAGGTGTTCCACAGTCAGCCCCCACCCCACCCAAAGGACCCTGCTCGTCCCCGGGTCTCACCACTGCTTCCTGGTCCCTTAACCTGTCCACGCCTTCATAAATAGTTTCCTCACTGAACTCACTTCACTTGGCACTGCTGGTGCCAAGCCCGCCTGACACAGCCAGCTGGCAGAGTAGAGGACAGTGTGTCTCATCAAGGATGGCCTATCGAGGGCTGCCTATACTTCCAAAGCATTCGGGAAAGCAGGAGGACATGGATGGGAAAGCTCAAGAAGATCACATATCCCTTAAAAAAAGGCGTTTTGGGCCCTTCCCTGGTGGCGCAGTGGTTGAGAATCCGCCTGCCAATGCAGGGGACATGGGTTCGTGCCCCGGTCCGGGAAGATCCCACGTGCCGCGGAGCGGCTGGGCCCGTGAGCCATGGCCGCTGAGCCTGCGCGTCCGGGGCCTGTGCTCCGCAACGGGAGAGGACACGACAGTGAGAGGCCCGCGTACCGCAAAAAAAAAGGCGTTTTAGCTACAGTGAACCTGACCCTGAACAGCCCTCCTCAGGGCACTGGTGGTATCCAGTCCCCCTCTGCCAACTGGGCTTTCCCTGGGGACCTCAGATTCTTGGTGGTTTTCTAATGAGGGGCTTTTGAACAGGAGCTCATCGTAAATGATGACCAGAAAGAAAATTCGGGGGTCCAGCGGGGAGGCTGATGGCATCTCTGCCGGAACCACTCACTCTATATATTTTTTTACTGGCTTAAGGAAAAGGAAGCAGATCCCCTTTGAGGCGTATCTGGAAGTCCCTGGGGAAAACTGCAGACTGTTTTATGAGATTCTAAACCAGGTGCAATTTTTTCCTAAGGCACCTGCCTTCTCCCACGAAACCAATTTTCATTTTTATTTGCAAAATATAAACAAGACACAAATGGAACAGATTCCTTTCCCCTCTCCTTATGTATTGGAGAGAGGGGCGGAAGTGGTTTTCAAGGGGAGACTGCGGGCAAGAGATTTTTCTGGGAAGAGCATTCAGCCAGAGTCAGGGGGGCCCAGAGTGGGAAGGATGACTTTCAGTAGCAGCCCATGGGGAGCCCAGAGGCAGTGACCCTGGGAGAGGCGGACAGAGAAAGCAGGGAGGGGGCTCTGGGGCCGGCAGACTGGGTGACCTCAAGCCAGCCACTGAAGGGTGCTGGCCTCCTAAGGGGGTCTTAATACCTCCCATCAGAGGGGTTCTGGAGGATCAAGTGAGATGCTACGGTAGACACCTGTAGGTGTTCCATAAATGGACATAATTATTTTTATAACTGAACTTCACTGAGTTAGCAAAGAATATAAATAAAAAATCCTGCTCTATAGAGGAGGCTATTGGAGCACAGATATGGCATCTAGGACCAGATGGGGAAGGTACAGTAACTCAGGGTCTAGGCGACCCAGGGTTTCCATGGAGTGCACAGCTGTGCAGCTGTGAGGAGGTGCTGGGTGGCAGGCTGGAATTCAGCCGTAGCTTCACCCACCAAGTTGTGTCCATGGCACAAGCCTGGAGGAAAGGACACCTTTCTGACTGTTGTGCCAGGCAGCTGGAGAAAGGTAGGTCTGCACCTGATCCTTCAGAGGAGCTGGGTGGTAGGAGGGCAGGGAACAGAGGGTAGGGGTAGAGGGAATGCCGGGACCACTACGAGCCCAATGAGATGAGCCCCGTCCCATGGGGCAGATGGCTGCTGGAGCCTTGTGGTGCAGCTGGGTGATGTGACCCCTCAGAGGACCAGTAGGCCATGTTATTTATGGTCAGGGGGTGACCATAAATTTATGCAGAGGGTGAATGAGCTCCCTAGAGACCCAGAGGAAATGGAACGGCCTCTGTGCAGGGCAAGCAGGGGTGGTCAGGGCTGCCGTGCAGAGAGGCAGCAAGGACCTAACTGCCTGGGCCCCAGCCAGGGAGGGAAGAGGGTGGTGGAGAGGCCAGAGCATGGTGGTTATGGAGGAGTGGTACAGGGTGCAGGGACCCAGCTCTCGAACAATCTTTACCTGGCGGAGGCTGGGCAGGTGGTCACTTCTTGGAAGAGGGTCAGTATAAGGAGTTTGGCGAGGCCTATTAACACCTGGGAGTCCTTTTTCACCTTGACTCCCAGATACTCTCCTGGGACCTCTCCCCCTTCCCTCACAAGGTCACTTTCCTGCAGGCTAAACTTGGGGAAAGACAAGGACACCAGGGGCCTGAAGCCAGACAGGGGCACAGATGTTTCCAAGGAAGGGCCTTCTGCTCAATGAACCCCCAAAGCAAAGCCGACGTTGCACTTGGCCTCTGGGTCACTTTCGTCCAGAGTTCCAGGCCACCCACCAACTTGGCCCTAGTCAGACCAGACCAGCCCTGGGCTGCAGAGCTTGGAGTGAGAGGCTGGGAAGGGCTGAGACTGCCTGCCCTGGCCTGTGATGGACCCTAGACTTGAGGAGTTCGGATCTCAGGAGACTCGGAGAAATGACAA